GGTGTGTGTGTGTAGCTCTGCACGGTGTGTGTGTGTGGGGAGTTCTGCAGGGTGTGTGTGTGGAGCTCTGCAGGGTGTGTGTGGGGAGCTCTACAGGGTGTGTGTGTGTGCAGCTCTGTGGGATGCGTGGGGGGAGTTATGCTGGGTGTGCTTGGCACGAGACTTTGCAGGGTGTGTGTGTGTGTGTAGCTCTGCAGGGTGTGTGTGTTTGTGGGTAGCTCTGCAGGGTGTGTGTGTGGGGGGAGTTCTGCATGGTGTGTGTGGGGAGGTCTGCAGGTTGTGTGTGCAGGGAGTTCTGCAGGGTGTGTGTGGGGGGAGCTCTATGGGGTGTGTGTGTGAAGTTCTGCTGGGTGTGTGTGGGGGGAGCTCTGCAGGGTGTGTGTGTGGGGAGCTCTGCAGGGTGTGTGTGGGGAGCTCTGCAGGGTGTGTATGTGCAGCTCTGTGGGGTGTGTGGGGGGAGCTCTTCAGGGTGTGTGTGTGCAGGGAGTTCTGCAGGGTGTGTGTGTGTGCAGCTCTGTGGGGTGCGTGGCGGGAGTTCTGCTGGGTGTGCTTGGCACGAGACTCTGCAGGGTGTCGGGCACCAGTGTCCTGGCGTCCCATTTTAGCTGCCGCAGACCTAGCTGATGTTGATGATGGACTTGGTTGGCATGTTTTTTTTTCTATGCACGAATGGAAGATTGTAGTATATGAATTTTTTTTGGTGACAGCATGAGTTTTAGTAATATTTGTGTAAATCACGTTTGGGTATTAAATGGAAATATCTGTTAATTATTATTATTTTTGTTATTTAAAAAATAAGTGTGGGTGAGTTTTATGATTTGAAATGATGGTGGCTACTGATCCAGAGTCACAGGGACACTGGTATCACCCAGAGCAGGGCAGTGTGGAGGCTGGAGAGGACCCTGCAGCTCCCTGCGGGCTGGAGATGGGATACACCGTGGTGAGGACAGAGCTCTTCACACTGAGGTTCTGGGGTGGTAGGTGGTCAGGTGAGGTGTTTTCAGTAAATGCATATTGAATTTGGTAAGTCTCCTCTTAGTCGTCAGAGTGGACCCTGGAGGACACAATGGAAGGTGTGCTCCTGTCAGGCTCTTTCAGGGCACCCACAAAAGCTAGGAGTCAGGGGGTTCGTGCCCAGCCCAGCACCAGGAGAGGCCTCGAGCGCCTGTCCTTGGCCAGTGCCTGTGGGCACTGTCCTTCCAGACTCCTGGGCTGTGGCCAGATTCCCTTCCTGGGGCAACAGGAGTCTTTCCAGGCCTGCAGACCAAAGCCGGACAGTGTGCTGGCTGAGTCGGGAGCCCTTTGTGGTGAGCTGGGCACTGGGTGGACATGAAGTCTTCACTGTTGATGGCCTGATATGCCATTCTGCATCAGTCCCTAGGAGAGAGCTTTAATTACAACAGCAGCTCATACACCTGGAAAATGTCATGGAAATGTGAGGAACACTCTCTTCATACAATGAATTTAGAGTTCAATACCAATTCACTCATTGCTCCATTAAACGCAACATTAATAAGATTAAGTTAACAGCAGGAGTCAGCAAGTTCACTTAATTTGGACAGAAAGCTTTTAAACAGTATGTTTTTGCTCCAAAAAAAAAAAAAATTGATTCCAAAAAAGATGAGCTGATTTTGTCAATGTCAAGCGGAATACTGCAGGAAAATGACGTTTTGTACCAGATTCCCTTGCTAAAAGGCTTTAGTGTTCCGATGACGTTTGGCTGTGTGCTTTACGGGGCCTACCTGCAGACTGGGGGTCCCAGGAGCAGGCAGCGGCCACACTGAGCTCTGCTGCACAAGCAAACTGGACCAAGACCCGTGGGCACGGGTGTGTCCCACACTCCTGGAGTGCTCTTCCTTGGTGACGTGTTGAAACCACAGTATTTTGTATCTAATGACTTAAATAAAAGGTTTTATTAAAATAAATTTCACTGACTTCTTTTTATTTAGAAATGGAGCTACTAGGACATTAAAATTACACGTGCGGCTTCGTGGTCTTCTGTCCGATGCTGCCCGCCTGCCTGGCCACTGGAGGCCACAGCTCCTCTGCCCCAGCAGCCACTGCCCGCTCTGTGTAGCCCCTCAGGACTCCCTGAGGCTCTGACAGCTTTCTCTGCTCCCGTGCAAGGCGTGCCAGGTCCACCTGTCCAGGGCACTGATGATCCTCCTCTTGCACTCAAAGCCTCCACTGCCCTGTCCCCTGAGGTCCCCCAGCTCGGGTGTCAGAAGCTCCTGGCCTGTTAGTGTTTTTCACCCACACCCATATCCTTTCCTGCACCTGCTCAGGTGGTGTGTGGGCTCCGTGTCCACGCTGGCCTGCCTGGTAGGTGCTGCTATTATGCCCACCTCTGGGGTCTGCAAGACCCACCAAGTTGGTTTGAGCGCTGCGTGGAGCTTGGCCTTTGATGACTGCTTCCTTGGTCTCTTGGGTTCTGCCTGGGGAAGACCTAACTGGGTGCTCCCTTTGACCACGAGGGCACAGAGTGCCTGTAACAGCCATACCCACTGTCACGCCAGTTCATCTCAGGGACCTGGAACAGTAGGTGCTCATCATGAGCCTGATGTCTTTTCCTGCCCATGACTAAAAATGTTTCCAGGTCGTCCTTTTACATCTCGGTGGCAGTCCTTCTGACAGCAGAGTTCTACAGGTATTTTGAGGTGTGCACTGACCCAACAGGTACGGAGTCCACATTCCCAGGACACAGCCACTTTTGTCAGGGACGTTAGAACAAGCCGCCTCACCAACGCTCTTCCTGGGTCATCCGACAGGACACATGACACGCAGAGGTGCACGTGGCCGGACCTCCCGCCCTGAGGCCAGCACTTCCCGGCACAGGAGTGGGCGGCCTGGAGCCAGCCCCTCTGTCTCCCTGGTCCAGGTGTGTGGAGGCAGGAGGAGTCGAGGAAGCCGGCAGAATTCCAGGCACGTCCCACGGAGGCCTCCTTTCCCCTCCACGTTCCCAAGCTGTTCACCCTGAGGAGGCCAAGGGCCTGGGGGCTGCAGGTGCCTCAGGGCGGTGGGGTGAAGACTGGAATTCAAGCCCAGCACTGGCTGCAAGTGTCCACCAGCCAGCAGAGGCCTGCAGAGGGTGCAGCGTGAGGGCACCCGCCAGCTCATTCTAGGCGTGTCCCCGAGGCTCCTGCTGCAGGCCTTCCGACCTACCAACATGACCCTCATGGCCATCGAGGTCCTCCATGGGCCTCATGGTGCAGTTGCTCAGAGGGCTTGAGTAACCTGACCAGGGTCACACAGCATCTCTCGGCAGCCCAAAGGCGAGGGCGAGGCCACCGAGCCTGGGTTCCACACGGCGTCACGCCTAAGGGTTCAATGCCTGGTCGCTGAACTGCCCACCCAGGTCGGAGACCAGGTATCTGGCTCACACCCGAGTGCTAGATCACACCAGTGAGCCCCTCCCCAGGCACCTCATGGCTGGCAGGCAGAGGGCGCCAGGCTGCCTACCCCTCCTGCCCTCAGAGGAGCCACCCACCTGGAGAGGCTGGCAGCCTCGCTTCTGGGCAGAGCTGCTGATGTCCACTGCTTACCTGAAGAGGCAGAGGATCAAGCTTCCCGTGGCCAGAGAGACCAGAGAGACGCTGTAGCCCAGGGTGTAGACGGCCTTCACCAGCACATAGAACGCGATCTGCAGGGGAGGAGAAGCACATCTGTGGCCCTGCGACGCAGGAACGTGCTAGGTGGCAGGGCGTCCCCTGAACCCCAGGTCCCACTGTGACACTGTGACAGGTGCACATCTGTGCCCCTGCGACGCGGAACATCCTAGGTGCCAGGGTGTCCCCTGGACCCCGGGTCCCACTGTGACACTGTGACAGGTGCACCTCTGTGCCCCTGCGACGCGGGAACGTCCTACGTGGCAGGGCATCCCCTGGACCCCAGGTCCCACTGTGACACTGTGACAGGTGCACCGCTGTGGCCCTGCGACACGGGAACGTCCTAGGTGTCAGGGCGTCCCCTGGACCCCGGGTCCCACTGTGACACTGTGACAGGTGCACCTCTGTGGCCCTGCGACACGGGAACATCCTAGGTGGCAGGGCGTCTCCTGGACCCCGGGTCCCACTGTGACACTGTGACAGGTGCACCTCTGTGGCCCTGCGACACGGGAACGTCCTAGGTGGCAGGGCGTCCCCTGGACCCCAGGTCCCACTGTGACACTGTGACAGGTGCACATCTGTGCCCCTGTGACGCGGGAATGTCCTAGGTGCCAGGGCGTACCCTGGACCCCGGGTCCCACTGTGACACTGTGACAGGTGCACCTCTGTGGCCCTGCGACGCGGGAACGTCCTAGGTG